CTTATTTTCAGCTATTATGCAAAAATTTTTTTGAAAAAGAAAATCCTTGTAAATCATTATTTAAAAGTTATTAAAAATTTGAACTGTAATTGATTTAAGATAATTAAAGAGTGTAGAATTAAAAAACATCAAGAGTTTTGTGATTACTTTTGCGGTTTATTGTAAAATTTGTTCCAATAGTTTGAAAAAACCCGTGTCCAAATCGGACCTCTCTTTGAGTGTCCAAATCGGATCTATATGAAAAACATTAAAAAGACGAGTAAGCCAGCTAATTCATCGAAGAAAGAAGGTTCGCTACAACTTGGTTGTAGTACTGGTGATCGACCGACCAGATCTGGTCTAAGAGATACTGAATCAATAAAATATCATATGTCATCAGACTCAGATTGATGGAATTTTTTATTGATTTTAATTCTAATAATATAAACTGTATTTTTATCTTTGAGTCTTAAATTGCTCGTTTTTACTCAATACTAACAAAAATTAATTAAAATATATTAAAATTCTAATAATAAGAAAATTAATATACGTAGAATGAGATTTACTAATCGTTTGTTAATTTATTTTACTTATTAGCTTGTTTTTTCATTCGATCTATCAATCGCTTGGTCAACAATAAGACATGGAGATGTTCACATTAGATGTTTCCAATTAACTAATAACTTTTAATTATCATGATGTTACTTCTGAGGATGGCTCAATCCGAGAGCCAAAACGTTAAGTAGTATATGGAATTTTGTAATCATTTTTGTTTTTGTTTTATTATTGTATAATTCAGAATTATGTAAGATGATATTTTATTATATATAACAGTTATGTTTTATCTATCGTTTTAAAAATTTATTTTGTATGACTCTTACAACGTCCTTTGCTCATTTCGTTTGTTGTTTTAAAATTCTGTTTAAAAGTTCATAAGAATAGGAGAGGTTCGATTTGGAACTCATGGTTTCAAATCGGACCGGAAAATGCATTTTTATGTTTTCCATTATAGTTCGACACAGGTAAGAGATACGTAAAAATGGTCTGAAGCAAAAATGAAGGAAATTAAATATGATCTTTCAAATGGCATTGGTTTTATGATCGGATTTTATTTACGCTTTATAGAGAAAACTGTAAATATGTAGGTCCGATTTAGACCACTCTCCCCTATGTATACTTAGTTTTTGTATTAACTGTGATAACATAAAATTGACAAAATTTCAAAGTAAAAAGCATGAAACTGTAATATAATTGTAAGAATAAAAAATAAAACCGATTTTTTACGATTACTGCATAAAACGTAATATACATGCGGCATCTACAGGATGTTTGACAAGTAATGAAAAATTCTGTTGCATAGGGGTAGAATGGACTAAACTGAGAAGAAAAGTTCTGTACCATTTTACGATTTTCGCAATAATTAACGAGATATTAATTTAAAAAATATCCAAATTTGCTCGGTCCACCGCCAAATGCAAGCGCGCGACTAGAAACGATCGCCCAACGAGGCGCGCTGCGCGCAATCGTCGTCGCTAGGCACGCGTTGTTTAACAAGCGGCAATGCCATCGCTAAACAATGTCTATTGTTTACATTAGGAACACATCTTGCTAAGGTGTCTTAAATGCTACCTTTTCTTTAATTTTAAATCTTTACTACATTTATACAAATATGGTACATGAATATACTTATATTTTTATATGAATAGACTTATATTTTTTGTAATGTTCTCAGAAATATTCTCTCTTTCGAATGTGATTATTAATTTTCCATTTTTACCTCAGTAAAAACTTAAAATATTCTCGAAGTTTGTAGAGGTCCACATTGGGCCCAATTAATTTATTATAAAATATGATTGGGGAAGACCGGGGACAAAAGTAACATTTTGACTTTAAAGTGTTATAACAGTTAAAATATAATATAATATTTATATTAAAAAAAGTTTAGATGAAGAATTTATTTAGCTACAAAATTTTCTTTAATTCAATTTTTCAATGTAACTAGAAAAAAGTTATGTTTGTTTAAAGACTATGAATTTTATTATAACCGTCCCAACTTCTGGAACGATTTGTAACAGTAGAGAGGAACAATTATACCACCATTATTTTATTTATAAATAAAATAATGGTTATTTTATTCGTTTTTAATTAAATAATAATTTCACTTTATGTATGTAGGATTTATTGGTGAAACAATATTGATTGTTGCGACGCTTCGTTTCAAAGAGATAACACGTTCCTTTCTCACAATCACAACTCAGCCATGATTCTCTAACTGCCGCTCAACATCTAACCTACCTTACTTCTAGCGCAAGCGCGCCGATACTTTTCCGTAGCGCCACAACCAGAAACGCAAAAATAAAAGATTCGTGTGTACAAAGTACTCTTCCTACATTAACAATCATAGTTTTAAAATTAACGTATTATTTCTACTATACATGTATGGGTAAATATGCCGATGAAGGGAGCCAGCCCCGATGACCTTGACCTTGACATATGTTGTCAAGGTCATGACCCTGAGTAACCTCCAACAGGTTTTAGCCGTCGCTCGTCCTTCGTTAAAAAGTTATTAACAATCATAGTTCTAAAATATACGTTTCATTTCTGCTATATACGTATGATATCAAGTACTATTCTACACCTTTCCCTGTTCAGAAACGTTAAACTTTCCACGCGCGAAGTTACTTTCACCTCCTCCCCTGCACAGGGGCACAGGATTTCTACGATTGTACTATTGCTATGATAGTACT